CTGTCCTGATGACCTCAGTAGTTACATTGTAGTGATACAGCCAACGGTTTTTCAAGTGGTCATTGGTTACCGCAGTCTGTATGCTGTTTCTCCCGTTGAGGGCCTTCATTGCCTGAATCATTTCTCCATTGGTTTTGATGGGGAAATCTGTCCCACAGGTGTTAAGCAGGTACCTCCACTGGACCTGCGAGTTCAGCAGATCTTTCATGCAGTTCAAATCGGCCTGCACTCGGGACCATGAGGCATATACCACGCTTTCTAATCTACTGGCTATAAACACATTAGGAAAGCAGGAAATAATTGCCTCCACAGCCTTCTGGAATTCTTTGGAGGCTTTCTGATCCACATGCACACAGTAGATATTCTGAGGAGCATAAACAGCTCGTAGAAGTCGCTCAAACATCTCAATCTTCTCATGGATCACCATGGAGTAGGCAATGGGAAAATCATTTCCCTCTTCACTGAGAGGTGCTGTAATAAAACCTCTATTTTCAATGTAAGACGGACAGTCCTTTGTCACATTACGGTAAAAGTCCTCGGATAAAAGAGTTTGTCTTCTCCTGGATGCCAGAAGCCCTTTTAATTCGTCTTTCTTCCCCTCTGCGTCTCCACTGATGATAGCCAAGCAGCCAGGCAGGTCTGAAGAGAACTGCTGTGGTATTTTGAGATCAGGCAATGACTGCCTGTTTAAGGCAGTTTCCCAAAGGAGACAGTGACGTACCGATGACGATTAGTAAGATGGTCCTCAACATCCTTGTACAAGCCATGTCCTTGCTTGAGGTGACCACAACACACCTTGTCTCTTTAGTGCGAGTTAGAGTTTGACCAGTGCGACATGGTCTGTTGTAATGAACACAAGCTGAATCTGCCCCCCTGAGTAGGTGTGTCAATCTAAGGTGTGGAAGGAGCTTATTGAGTATACTATCCAATAGTTCCTGAGTAGGGTGTGGATGTATTGCATGTCGTTATGGATGTTACAGTGGAAATTTCATATTTGCTATGTTGGCAACAGTGACAACGGAGAAGATGTATGAACAAAGTATTAAAGTTGTAAAGACTTGTTTAAACACATCAGATTAACGTAACCTACATCTGTTGCTTATAATGACACTAAACATTTTCTTAATCATTTTATAATACTCTGGTTTGAAATCAGACTCCCTACAGCCATCAAAACAGTCAATTTTCAAGATGCACTAACGGCATCAAGTAGAAAAT